CACTGCTCCGCTCCTCCGCTTCTAATTGGTTCTGGTTTCTCCGCCGCCAGACGTCTTCGCCACTCAACAGAGGTTTTACAAAGGCGCCAGTACCCGGGTGAGGACCTGGACGCTGAAATGAACACAGCCCGGATTGGGCACCTGTGGGCCTTATTTGCATGGAAGATCGGGATTGGCTGGCCTGTTGGGTGGCCTGGGCGGTGTTCGTCGGGCGCGTGACCAACTACGGCCATGGCTGGGCCAGGGGCTGCTTTCCGCCGCTTGGGTGCTTTGTCCGGAGCCGGGGCCTTAGGCTTGGCCTCCTACGGGGCGCACGGTCAGGGGCTGGGGATGGAGTTGGGATTGTGCTATGGGCGACCTTTGGGGTCTGGTGCAGGGGTGGGGTTTATGGGAATTGCCGGGGCTCCCATTGACTAGACAGCCCGGGGAGCCCTAAACCTTCTCAAGTCCCTCAGCTCGGTCCACTTGGTTCCCACAACTGTCCATGTATGTTTCCACGAATCAAAAGCCTCCTGGGGGCGCCCTTTCTCGCCAGTGTCCACCTGGGTGCCCCCGGGAATGGGGGCGGTCAGGGCTGGCGCTAGGGCTGGTAACCTTTTCCTCTCCTTTCCACAGGCGCCCAGTTCCCGGATGCCTACGGAAAGGAGGTGAAGTAATGCGTTGGGGCTCTCCGACTTCCGGGTCTATGAGGGCACAAAGTCTGAGGTCCCTGAGGGAACTAGGGGAGGGGCGGAGCGCGGGTCTTTGGAGCTGGAATCCTGAGGCGGGGAACTCCGTCTGACCGAGAAGCAAGCTGGGACTTCAGTTGGGGGACAAACTTTTGCCCGTGCGTTGCTTAGGAAGTCCCCCCATTTCCCTTTTTTCCACAGCTCTTTGACAAGACCAACAAACACCACTTCTTACACAGCCTGGCCCTGTTAGGGGTGCCCCACTGCAGAAAGCCCCTCTGGGTAATCTTCCCCCCTTCTCTAACCCTGACCAAGCCCCACCCACTTCTCATCGTGCCCTGTTCTTACTAGCCTGTATTCTTCCTTGTATCTCCCTCAGGCCGGGTTACTGCTAGCCTCTGGAACCACCTTATTCTGCACCAGCTTTTACTACCAGGCTCTGAGTGGAGATCCCAGCGCCCAGACTTTGGCCCCTGTGGGAGGGAGCCTGTTACTCTTGGGCTGGCTTGCCTTGGCTCTTTGAGCTTCCTTGTGTTTAATTTCTGGGTACTTTTTTGAGAGTTGGAGCAGGGAGGGGATTAAAAGAGTAAGGCAAATAAAGAATTTTGGAGTCTTTGTTCATCTAACCTCTTGGAGGAAGCAGGATAGGGATTGTCAACTTCTGAACTCCCTCCCTTTCCTAAGACTGAATCAGTGAGCCTTGGGTCTGGGGATTCTGTTCGCTTCAAGTTAACTTGTTATGAGGTTCTTAAACTGCTGGGCATCAGAGTCATAAAGAATGCTTGAAATAATGCAGGTTCTTATTGAAGCCATCTTTGGGGCCTGGGAATCTGTCTTTTTCTTTTTTGTGTGTGTGAGGAAGATCAGCCCTGAGCTAACATCTGCCAATCCTCCTCTTTTATTTTGCTGAGGAAGACTGGTCCTGGGCTAACATCCGTGCCCATCTTCCTCCACTTTATATGGGACGCCACCACAGCATGGCTTGACAAGCGGTGCGTTGGTGCGCGCCCGGGATCCCGAACCAGCGAACCCCGAGCCACCACAGCAGAGCGCACGCACCTAACCGCTTGCACCACCAGGCTGGCCCGTGGAATCTGTCTGCTAATAAGCTTATCTTGTGGTTCTGATACTCACTAAATTTGAAGATTACTGTAGGGCGGTGGTTTTCAGCCCTGTCATTCCACAAGTTTATTGAGTAGTCACTCTAGAAGTCAGGGTTAAGGCAAAGCAGGACAGGAGGAGTGCCATTAGTTACAGACTACTTTGGAGTTCAAAGCAAGGACAGAACGTCATGTATTGGGGGTCAGAAGATGCTTCATAGTGCTTGAAATGATCCTTAAAAGAGCTCTGTTGTGCAGAGGAAACTGAACAGAGACAGATGGGGAGGGGAGGAGTATGGGGCCACACAAGTCTTCAATGTAGGCCGCTTCTGAGTTAGACAGCAAAGGAGTGAGGAAAGGTGGTGAGGCAGGCTGGAGTAGCACCCACAGCATGTAGAGAACTGCAAGATATTTAGGGGGCCGTGTTTATAAAGTCATCAAGTGTTGATCATGGGTCAGGCAGACACACATAACAAGGAAATTCAACTGTGAACAAGACAGACACCATCCTTTCCCTTGTGGAGTTGCCCATCTAGTAGTGGAAACGAACCTTAAACAACGAAACACACAAATATATCATTGTAAGTTGTGTTATGTGCTTGAAGGAAAAGAACAGGGAGGCAGTGAAACAATGGGACAGTGGAGGGGGTGCCCCTTTAGAGGGGAAGGCCTCCGTTGAAACTGGAGCTAACCATGCACAAAGTGGAAAGGAAGTGTATTCTAGGCAGAAAGAATAGCTAGCAAAACAGGTTGAAAAGGAGCAGTTCAAAATCCTTGAGGCAGGAGAACATTGAGTGAGTTGGAGAAAGCAAAACCAGTGTGGCTGACATGTAGTGAGTAGGGAGTCCCAGATGCAGTGCAGGCCTTGCAGGCAGTGGTAAGCACTGGGAATTTATTTGTAGGGCGACAGTAAGTCATTGAAAGGTTTAAAGTGAGAGGCTGCTAGGATCTGATTTATACATTTAAAAGATCTGGAGAACCAAGTGGAGGAAGGTAAGGATACAACAGGGAGATCAGGAGGCCTGAAGAGGTCCAGATGTCAGATGATGAAGGTGGCTTGCTTTAGGCTGCAAGAGGTGGTGAAAGGACTATTTTGAAGATAATGCTGATAGGACTTGCTGATGGATTGGATATAAGGGGCGAATGAGAGAGAGATTTCTGGTTTACGCATTTGGTTGAATGGAGGTGCTGTTACCCAAATGAGAAAAACTAAAGGAGGGGCAGATTAGGGGGAGGCAGATTAGAAGATCAGTTTTGGACGTGTTGCTTAGGACACATCCAAGTGGAGGCACCAAGCAGGTAGCTGGGGAGCTCAGGAAGGTGTCTGAGCTCGGGAAAGAGGTCTGGACTCAAGTTTACTCTGCAACCCACTCTGATCAGTCTTCCATCCCATCTCTTCCCCATAAATGCCCTTGGAGGGATCCTGTGAATCACTATGACCTCCTGGTTGCCAGATCCAGTGCATGATTTTCAGTCTCATCTTCCTCAGCTTTTCTGCAGCATTTGACACAATTGGCCACACTGTCTTTGAAACACATCATGTCACTTCTGTGACACCACTCTTCTGGTTTTCCCCATCTCTGTGGCTGCTTTGCCAGCTTCTCCTCTACCCAGTTTAAATCAATGGCTTCCAAATTTTAATGAAAAAGAAAAACATGGGGCCAGCCCAGTGGTGTGGCGGTTAAGTGCGCGTGCTCCACTTTGGCAGCCCAGGGTTTGCAGGTTCAGATCCCAGGCGCGCACCAACCCACTGCTTGTAAAGCCATGCTGTGGCGGGGTCCCATATAATGTAGAGGAAGATGGGCACGGATGTTAGCTCAGGGCCAATCTTCCTCAGCAAAAAAGAGGAGGACTAGCATTGGATGTTAGTTCAGGGGCTAATCTTCCTCACACACACACAAAAATAGAACGCCTATGTATACATATTTTAATTTCATCCTTTTTGAGTTCTATTTTTGTGTATGTTTTATAAAGTGCATATCTGTATAGTATATTAGGTGCATACTTAATTTTTCTGAAGGTGCGCATTCAAAAAAGTATAGACCATTTCTCCAAATGAGAAGATTTTTAGGTAATCTCATTCAGCCCCATATCTTTAATTACAATCTGCATACTTTTCAATCCAGAATTTCTATCTTCCACCCCAGTCCCTCCTGAGCTCCAGATTCCTGTAGCAGCTGCAGTGTAAAAGGGTGTTCACTGGAGACCCGGAGGAGTTAGGTGATGAGGAGAGAGAGGGGTGTGTTCCAAACCAAGGCAAGAGCTTTTGAGGCAGCCCTGAAGCAGGGGAGAGCCTAGTGTATTCAAGACCTGAAAGAATTCCTGGTGGCTGGCTTGAGGATCTTGAGAGGGTCAGTAGCCAACAATGCGGGTAGCAGGGGCCAAATGGTGGAGGGCCCTGTGCTGAGAGGTTGGACTCTCTTCTGAGGGCAATGGAGTGCCACTGAAACATTTATATCAAGGGAGGAGGCATGATTTGAGGTGTATTAGTAGAGGATCACAATATTTCTTCATTTTAAAGATGAGTGAAATAAGGTCTCAGAGGGGACCTCCAGAGTAGCCCAAGTGCCAGTGGCAGAGCCAGCACTGGATCCCCAGGCTCCTACCTCCCAGTCCAGTGCTCTTGCTGCATTTCCATCCTTCATCTCAGGTAATGTCTGGGGCACATAGAACCTCCAGGTGGAGAATCCAGAATCTGGAATGGCCACCCTCCATGTAATGTGATCCCTAATACCTTAGCTTTGGGCTGAACTCTTGGGGAACCAAGATAAATAAGGCCTGCTTGATAATTGGTCCCTATTATTACTGCACATTGTATTCAGTCTTTTCAAGAGCCCGGCAAGTTAGTGGGAAGTGAAGATAAGAGAGTTGAAGTAACTTGTTCTATATCATACAGCTGGGACGTGGGTAAGCTGTGATTCAGTCTCTCTTCTGTCCAATTCCCAGAGCTAAGTTCTTTCCTTCTTGTACATACCAAGAAACTCAGATTTCAGCAGTGAAGACGGACCCTTTAAAAAAATAATTGGTTACAATATGTTGAGTGTTACAAGGAGATACTGAGGTGGGCTTGTTTTGCCTTTGGGGACTGGTAGCACTTCCGTCCATCTGCTGGGTTTCAGCATGAATAGTTCACCAGAAAAAAGGGACAAGATCACGCTGGTAACAAGTCAAGAGGGAGAACAGGAGTGTTTGGAGCTCAGGACGGAGGGGGCAGGCGGGAAATGACCAGAGTAAGGGTGGAGCCCACACTGTTAAGGGTCTCCTGGGACAAGCCCCAGTCAACTTTGACTTCCCTTTGCCTCACATCCTATATCCAAGCCATCATCAAATCCTCTTGGTTCAAATACATAACCGGAATCTGACCATTTCTCACCACCTCCATTGCTACCACTCTGGTGCCTGGTCTGAGCCACCATCATATCTCACCCAGCTCTTTGCAAGAACTTCCTTCTGCCCTTGCCTACCTATAGCCTATTCTGGACACTGCAGCCTGAGAGAGAGAGAGACCCTTCTAATACAGTAGTCCTCAGCCTTGGTTGCAATTTAAAATCTGCTGGGGGCCCCGTCCTGGTGGCATAGTGGTTAAGATCGTGTGTTCCACTTCGGCCTCTTGGCCCAGGGTTCACAGATTTGGATCCCCAGGTGTGGACGTACACACCATTCATTAAGCCATGCTGTGGCAGCATCCCACATACAAAAAATAGAGGAAGATTGGCACAGATGTTAGCTCAGGGACAATCTTCCTCACCAAAAAAAAAAAAAATCTGCTGGGAAATTTTCAAAAAGTTCTTAGGTCTGCACCTTGCCCCACATATTCTAATTTAATTGATATGAAGTGGGGCCCAGGCAGAGGGATTTTTAAAGCACCCCCAGATGATTCTAACTTGTGGCCAGGGTTGAGGACCACTGATTTGGTATGTAAGTCTCATGTCTCTTCTCTGTCCAAACCCTCCAACACTGCCCATTTCACTCAGAGTATAATCCAATGATTTAAAAGGCCGTATGTGATCTGGCCTCCTGTGACCTCTCTTACCTCCCCCTCGTTCATTCCATTCCATTCCAGCCACACCAGTCTCCTTTTTGTTCATGGAACAAGTAAGGCACACTTCTGCTTTGGGGCCTTGGCCCTTGTTGTTCCCTCTGCCTGAAACACTCTTCACCTAGAAGTGTGCATGGCTCAATCCTTGACCTTCCCTTAGGTCTTTGCTCAACTATCACCTTCCTGATGATGCCTTCCTAGTCCACCCTCTTCAAAATTGCAACTCTTGCCCACCACTCTCTGTCCTCCTATCCTGTTCTATTTTTCTTCATAGCGTTTGTCACCATCTGACTTCCGATGTATTTTGTTTACATTATCAGTCTCTTCTCCATTAGAATGTAAACCCAAGGAGATCAGGAATTTTTGTCAATTCTTTTTAACTGCTGTATATTCCTATCACTTTCAATGCTGTCTGACATACAGTAAGTGCTCACTAAATCTTGGTTGAATAACTGAATTTCTGTACGTCTATGTGTTTTCGTGGAGGCTGGCCCATGGTTTGGGTCATGTAGAATCTGAGGCACTAAGGGGTACCAGGCACTTGGGTCTGAAGCAGATGATGACTGAAGCTGTGGGAGCAGCTGACCAGCCCAGAGGAACATGAACATAGAGGCAGAGGAACCCCCGAAGTTGCATCTCCCCATGTTCATCTTGATGGGTGACGCCTCCACCGGCCTGGTCACCAGGCAGGCACCTAGGGTCATCCTGGACTCCTCACCTCCACATCTCACCCCCCAAACAAGTTCTATATTATTGTCTAGATATCTCCAAAATCTGCCTCTGCTGTCGGTCTGCACTACCACAGCCATCCCCCCCCCCCCCCCCCCCCCCCCCCCCCCCCCCCCCCGACTACTGCCAACAAGCCAGCCTGAGTGCCTCCATTGTTCTCCACGCTGCAGTTTTAATGGTTTTTCTAAAACATCTGACCTCCCTCGGTCTTAAAATCTTTCAGTGGGCTAGCTGCTGTCCTTGGGGCCAAGTCCCAGCTCCCACAAGGCCCTCTGTGCACGTGGGCTGGACTCCCTCTCTAAACTCATCTCTTGCCACTCAGCCTATAGGCCCCCAAGGCGCAGGACTTCCTCACGCCTGCATGCCTCTGCTCAGGATCCAGAGGAAGAGACTCTTCTTGGGGGAAGCCTTTCCTGCTGACCGCGCTGCCTCCTCTGGCCCCGCGCCTCACCTCACGCACGCTCATTATTGACTCTGTTTGGCGGCCTGTCACCCGCGTGGCTGGGGGCGCCTGAAGGAAGTACTGGAATTGCAAGGTGTCTGTGTGGGTCACTGCTGCGCCAGGGAGAGGGGACAGCGAGATAGCCCCAGAGAGGTGGAAAGGGAGCCAGGAGCCAGTCCTAGAAGCCAACGAGTGTGAAGGGTGTTCCGCTGCGTCAGCGAGGCCCGAACCGCCCTTGGGAGGAGGAGCCTGGGGTCCAGGGCCGCGCAAGCGGCCCTCGTTCCCACTAAAGGGGACTGAGGACTCTGCGCCCGTAGACCTGACGGGTGTCGCAGGGCTAGGTCTCAGCCGGCTGCCCTCCCCAGGCGAGCTTCCTTTCTCGGACTCTACATGAGAGCGGAAAGGGCGGGAACGCGGACAACCAGAAGGAACCGGTGGTCCAGAGTCCGCGGCCCCGCGGGAGAGCCGGCATAATTTCTGCGCAGCCGCGCCACCCAGGCCGGGGAGGCGGGGCCTGGACGGGTCGAGGGGCGGAGTCAGGTCCTGGGCCCGCCTCCACTAGCTTCTGAGAGCCGCCGAGTGCTGGGCACCCCGGCTATTCTAGGGGCTTCAGGTGAGCGGGGGGCACAGAAGGGTCAGGAGACCTCCCTCGAGGTCGGGTCGTCGGTCTGACCGCAGGTCCATCTGTCCTGCCGTCTGCCTACAGCCTACTCCGCGGAAAATGGGAGAACAAAGGGAGGGGGCGGTTCTGGGGCCCCTGAGGGAATCCAGGGTCCCAGGTACCCTGCCCCGCCCGCTGACACTTTCGGTTTCTCTCCGAGTCAGAGGCGCCGCCCAAGAGACCCTGGGCCGGCGCCGGGCGCAGCTGCCTTTCGGCGTTTGCCTGTCCGTCTTTGTGTCTGTCTCTGTGTCTGTCTGGCTGTCTCCGAGCTTGCCTCCACTTCTAGAACTAAGCTTCTCGGATACCGACATCCCGCGAACCCTCGCCCCTTCCCCATGGCAGGTAAGTGGGCGCAAGGCCGAGAGTCTCCGTTATCCCCCCACGGACCTGGGAGCCGGGTGTCGAACACATCCTCTGGGAATGTGCTCAGACTGGCTTAGTGGGGCTCCTCCCTTCCTCCCGGGGAGCCGCCTCCCTTCCTCCCGGGGAGCCGCCGCCCTGCTCCCCCTCCCCATCTTTCTCAGTCTCTTGCCACCACATTTCCCCCGTGGCCTCGTGGCCCGTGGGCTAAGGGGTTTGGGGATGAGGCCGCGGGTCCTATTCTAATCTACTCCTGTCCCCCCACAGGCCATTTGCCCCCGAAAGACTACGCCCCTTCGCCCCCACCTCCCTACCCTGTGACTGCCGGGTACCCGGAGCCGGCGCTGCATCCTGGGCCCGGGCAGGCGCCAGTGCCCGCCCACGCTCCTGCCCCTGCGCCCGGCTTCGCTCTCTTCCCTTCGCCTGGCCCCGGGGCCCCGGGGCCTGCTGTCCCCTTCTTGCCACTGCCAGGGGTGCCTTCTGGCCTCGAATTCCTGGTGCAGGTGAGTGGGAGGGAGGGAAGGAGGGAGGAGTGACGGGAAGGGGACCGGACGTCCAAGCCGGCCAGCTGACGGCGGGGCGGCCCCTACTCTCTTTCCAGATTGATCAGATCTTGATTCATCAGAAGGCTGAGCGAGTGGAAAGTGAGTGGAAGGAGGAGTAGGTTGGGCCTCGTGATGGGGGCAGAGATAGTGGGCTTTTGGGCAGGCGCCGGTGCCTGAGCCTCAGCGTATCACCCCTTGGCAGCGCTCCTAGGCTGGGAGACAAGTAACCGGTATGAACTGCGCTCGGGGGCCGGACAGCCCCTGGGTCAGGCGGCTGAGGAGAGCAACTGCTGCGCCCGTCTGTGCTGTGGTGCTGGCCGGCCACTGCGTGTCCGCCTGGTGGACCCCGGGGACCGAGAGGTGCTGCGCCTGCTCCGCCCCCTCCGCTGTGGCTGCAGCTGCTGCCCGTGTGGTCTCCAGGAGGTGGGCGGGGAGGGATAGAGCCTGGGAGTGACTTGGGTAGGGGGGCAGGCCTTAATGGGGCGGGCCAATTGTGGGGCAGGACGAGGGATGAGGCCTGGGATGAGGCGTTGCTCTGGTGGGAGTGGGCAGGTGGGATGAGAGGTCTAGTGAGGGGGATGACAGGTGGTCTAGTGAAGGGGATGGGAGGCCTTGTGAGGGGAGATAGGTGGTAGAGCTGGACTGGTGAGAGCTTGGGCCAGGATGCCCTGGCTCAGCAGTGACCCTGACTGCCTCCCACTCCAGATGGAAGTACAGGCTCCACCTGGCACCACCATTGGCCATGTGCTACAGACCTGGCATCCCTTCCTCCCCAAGTTCTCCATCCAGGATGCCGATCGAAAGACCATCCTGAGAGTGGTGGGGCCCTGCTGGACCTGTGGCTGTGGCACAGACACTAACTTTGAGGTACGTATCAGGCATAAGGGGAGGTTTCTGGGACCTCCATAAAGATGATCCATGAGGCAGGATGGCCAACACTAAGGTCAAGACCCTGAGCTCATCAATCCCAATCCACTGTGACTCCCACCACACTTCCAGTTTGCCTCCATTCAGAAACATGATGGCCCCATGGTCTTACAAAAACACGGCAAAAAGGGTTTCATCTTAAGGACCATTGCTGATTGTTACCTGCAGGCCTGTCTTGAGGGGGAAAAACTCTAAGGCCAGCCCAGATTTAGAGTAGAGGATGATTCTTGAGTCTGTCATGGGCTGGACCCTTGTGGCTGCTGTGCAGGAGTGTGTGAGCCCAGGCCCTGGAGCAAGCACTCATTTAACTTGTTAACATCCTGTGGCTTGCCCTGCCAATCTAGAAGTCCAAATGGCCCCTCCAACCTGGAATCCAGGTGATACCCTTCTGACCGTGCGTTCCAATCACCATCCTGGAGCCTGGAGAACCCAAGTGGTGACCGTTTCAGGGTGAGGCCTGGGAAGCACCTTCCTTTCTAGAAGACAAAGTCACTTTACAGACTCTTTAAGGGATAATTACCTGTGCAGATAAAGGAGAAACAACAGGTATAATCCTGTAGACTTTCCAAGGCTTCTGATGAGGTAGCCTACCTAAGGTTACTTTTAAAAATGCGTCACCTTGGTAGCTGGGGAAAGATTCTGTGATGGGAACTGGTTGGGAAAGATAACTGGGTGACCTCTAGATGGGAATATGTAGACTGTGGAGTTCTCATAGGGCCAGTCTCCCTTCTACATAATTATGAATGGGCCATGTTTGAGGCTGTACTCTTGGGACCGCAGGGCTGCCTGGGAGAGGCCCTATCCAGCCTGAGACTGGCCTGCAGGAAGTGCCCAGAGCTGTAGGACAGTGCGGGTAGGGGGTGGGAAGGACACAGAAGGATATCACTCTAGTTCTAGCCACTGGAGAATGAGCATAGGAAAAGGACCAGGGAGTCACTGTGAATTACCACCCACATCGGCAGGGCCTGTTGCTGCTGAGCCCAGAGAGGCCAGTGGAAATTGTGGTCTTCAGAGGCCACTTACTGCTGCATCTTCCCCCCAACAGATGGGCTTGAAGCCCCTCTACATGAGGCTTGCATGCAATTCTAGACAAGACAGGGCCCTCCCTACTTTGCTGATCAGAGGAAAGCCACCCCTTTTGGCAGACACAGCCTTCTAGGAGCCTGGTTGGCTGGTGGAGTGCAGCCAGGAGTTTAGCAGCCTCCCTTGCCCTCTTGGCCAAGCTACTTTGTGCAGGGCACAAACGGCACCAACTGTAGGTGGCAAGGACTTTGGTAACAAAACAAACCTAGCAACCAGCCATACACTAAGGAGATCAGACGATGTTGCGCTTCCATTTCTCCCAGCCCTGATGTTCAGTTGTGATGTATGGCCTTTCAAGAGCAACATAGCTGAGTTTGAATCCTGATTTTTACTCTGTACTGGGAGTGTGACTTAGGGTGCCTCAGTTTCCCCAGATGTCACATGGCTGCTGGGAGGATTCACTAAGTGTAGAGCCTGCATAGTTCTTACATGGTGACTGTGGGAGTGAGACTGGAGGCAGGTTGAGATCGGTCGCATCCTCCCCAGTTGGGTCCTCCCTTTCTCCCTCCTCTCTCGACAGGTGAAGACTCGGGATGAATCCCGCAGTGTGGGCCGCATCAGCAAGCAGTGGGGGGGGCTGCTCCGAGAAGCCCTCACGGATGCAGATGACTTCGGCCTACAGTTCCCGCTGGATCTGGACGTGAGGGTGAAGGCTGTGCTGCTGGGAGCCACATTCCTCATTGTGAGTTGGCCACCCCCGCCCCTGCCCTCCTGCTACTCCTTTGCTCTCGCTGAGCCTTCGTGCACTTCCTGGCCTCCTGCTAGGAGAGGGTTAGGGACAGACTTTATGGGGGGATGTGCTTCCAGACCTCGGTTGTGATAGCTGAGCCAGGCTGGCCCCGCCAGATCACTTGTTGACAGTGCCCTCCCCTCAGGACTACATGTTCTTCGAGAAGCGAGGAAGCGCTGGGCCCTCTGCCGTCACCAGTTAGAGGCTGTCTCAGGGTGAGGAGACCATCACCTCAACCAGAATTCAAGATGGTCGCCTGCCCTGGCCTGGCCCCTTCTCAGAGGCAGCACCTTTCCTCCATGTACACTAGAGGAGAGACAGGGATGCCTGAGAGGCTGCGGGGCCATGGTGCCTCATCCCTACCCTACTCCCCTGGCTTCTATCACCTGTGGCTCCCACAGAAGGGTATGTATGAGAGCCCTTCCCCTGCTCCCTCCCACCACTATCTCCGGCAGTCCCTCAGCACACAGGCATGTCAGCTTTCAAACTTTTTCTAGCCACCTCCTCCCAGCCCCTTCTAGGACCTCAGCTCCAGACAAGGCCTTTGGAATCCAGGGCTCTGGGGTTTTATGGCAGGGCTGGGGTGGGGAAGGGTAAGCAGCACCAAAGATGACAGACGTGGCCATCCTTCCCCTGCATCAGCTTGGCCAATCGGTTCAGCCTCAGACCATGGCACTCTGAGGGGATCCTTACCTCCCCACCAACAGTTGTAGGGCCTAGACCCCAGTGCCAGCCTCCTCTCCCCCTTGGGCCCTACCCATAGCTGGTGCTTCCTGCAACTTCCTGTGCCTTATTTAACCCCTTCCTTCCCTTGCCCTAGGAAGGAAGCTGCATCTTTGTATGTTATATTCATATAAACTTTGTAACTTTTTGGACACTGGAAAACGTATGTAATGGGAGAGGGTAGAAAAAAGATTTGGTGTAGAAAGAAACAAAGGGAAATATGACAGCTGGGCTGGGGGGTGCTGGCCCATCTCATAATCCATGCTGCCAGGACCAAGTGTCTTTGAGTCCAAGAGAGCAACTTTCATCACCCATGATGGCCCCGGACCAAGCCAAGGCAGTTTGGGCCATGTGCCCCAAGTCAGTAAGGCTTCCATCATCCAAGATAGCTGCTCCCAAAGTGCAGTGTGGCAGCTGACGGCAGTTCAGGATGGCTGTTCCCATGGTCCAGTATGGCCACTGGATCACTCTCTGTAGCAAGTAGAAGTTTCCTGTGGGTATGATGTGTAGCAGCTCTGTTCCTCCGAGTCTTCCTCTTGGTTGGGAATGTGGTGGGCAGGGTAGATAAGATCCTTCTATGACCCGGCCAAGGGAGCTTGAGCCCTCAGAGGCCAAGGGGCAGGGTAGGAGGAGACACTTGTCAGTGCCTGGCCCTGGGCTCCTCCTGTGCCGCCTACAGCAAGATGTCCCCTGGTGGGAAAGTCTGCTCCGACAGGACTTTGTTCTGGTTCTGCTTGGTCCCAAGTGGCCAGGCCCTGGGTCATGCTGATGTCCATGCCCAAGGGAGTAGAGCTCAGGGCCGGGCCAGGACATAGCGACTGGCAGCTGAGAGGTCCCACTGGTAGTGCTCGAGGATGCGCCGGCAGTCGGCTCTGGATCGGCTACTCAGGTGGAAGAGCTGGTCCACCTGTGGAGGCAGGAGGGCAGGCAGCTGACTGCCAGAGGGCAGCGGCAGGAGAGGCGGGAACCCGAGAGGAGAGTCTGGTTTTACCTTGAGGTTCCGGATGGCAGAAACCACATCTCCCCCAGTGGCCCTCAGTGCTGCCTGGCACTCCTGGTGGGTGACTCCATGCACGCTCAGCTCCATCTGTGGGGAACAAAGCCTCGCTTGGGCCCCTACCCCAGCCTGTAGCCCCTTCTGGACACCAGGCCACTTCAGGGAGACCTCACCTCCATAATCCTCCTCTGCAACTCGGAGTCAGGCGAGAGGCCTCCAGAGGGGGCAGTAGCTTTGCTGGCTCCTGGCGCTCCCATGGGGTGACTGTGTGGGGGTTCTCTTTTGGGCCAGGGAGGCCGCTCCCTGGGGGACTGGCTGGGCTGAGAAGAAGAGCTTGAGGCAAAGGGAGGGCGGGGTGGCAGGCCTGGAGGTCCCTGGGGCACAGCTCTGGCATGTCGAAGTTCAGGGGGGCTTGCACCACCCCCAGTGGGGCGGGGGCCCAGGGACAGAACCGATTCCAGACTCTTGGAAATGCCTGCACAGTTGAGAAAAAAATGACCTGAGAGGAAGCCCAGATGCTGCCTTCTTTCTGTTTTCTGTCTGAGCTGTCCTCAGGGTGGTCCTTGTGTTAGGTGGGACAGTAAGACAGGTGTACAGAACGGACACCCAGGCCTAGACAGCTGAGGACCCAAAGAGCTGAGAGTGCAGGGGCTGCAGTGGGGAGACGCTGTTCGTGGGGAGGGCAGATCTCAGAGCACAGCTAGGATGCAACAGGCAGAATGTGGGGGAAGGAAATCATATATGCAAAGGCATGGATTCAGAGCAGGGTGCAGAACTGGAGGGTGGTTCTTGATCTCCTCTGAGACCCTGGAGGCCCTGTCCCACCTCCACACCCACCTTTCGTCGCCTGCAGGGGCACGTTCCTTCTCTGGCCCCGGGCTCGAGGTGGATCCCGAAGCTTTGCCTTCGCCCTGTCCCTGTTGGAGAGTATTCCACTTCATTCTCCACACACACCCCCAACGCACAGATCAATGTCCCCTCCCAAAGAAACTATGTGGGGCCCCCACCCAGAGTGGAAGCTCCAGCTGGGAGGCAAGTCCACCTTCACCCTGGCCCGCTCCCCAAACTTCCCTTCCGGAGAAATTGCTGAACTTGGTTGGTTCCCCGAGTCTAGCTCTGCCCCCTACTCTTTCAAGTCCTCACCCGTCTGTGTTTCCCTGGTGTCGCTCTCCCCGGGCAGGGGAGCCTCTGTGGACTGGACGGGTGGCTGGCGAGCCCCCCACATCTGCCAGCATCACTGCTGAGGCTGGGAAGCTGCCCACTTTGAATGTGCGACCGTTCTGGCCCTTCCATGTTGCAGAGTCGGGGCTGTGGGAAGAGGCGCTGGTGAAGGGGACGGGGTGGGGCCGGGAGTGGGGACTGGGCTTTGGCCCACTTTCAGCTCACAAGCTGTGGGCCATGGAGCTGCATCTGCCTGGAGGAAGGGAAGCCTTTTTCTCCCTAACACAAAAGGGCTCTATGGTCCCATGGTGGCTCCAGCGGGGAGGCCAGCACTGTGGTGGAGCTCTCGGGGCCCAATGGGGAGAGGAGGAAATGAGGCAGAGGATCAGGGTTCAAGGAGCTGGGGAGAAGCAGAGATGGGACCAGGGCCGGGAAGGTTGGGAGGAAATCCTTCTCCTGGGGATGGGTGGGAGGCATGGGGCCCTCACCTGCCCTCGATGACAGTGATGGAGTCCCCAGGCTCCATTCTCAGGGCGCCTGGCTCTGTGACATCCCTCACACAACGTCCCTCAGGAGGCCAGGCCTGTAGGGACAGGAGGAATGGATGGCTGGGCTTGCGGCCTGAGTCAGAAGGGTAACATGGGGGCAGGGAAGAAAGGAGACTCCTGTTTATGCACCCACCAATCAAACCCCTAACAGGTATGTCCTCTATCCCTGTCCCCCAATTGTAATTCAGTAGGGGGAGGCAGACCTGGATTCCATGCCAAGCTGGGCACAGCCCAGGGGTCAGGGAGCAACAAAGGGGGCCCCTGTCTCTACCTAGGGTGACCAAGGGGAGAGTCATCTTATATACTGCTTTTACTCCACACCCAGGCCCATCAGATCTGCCTCCCAAGCACCTCTGGAAGTTTTCCATTTCTCTCCAGCCCCACTGCCTCGACTTTCATCCAGACATCTTCATCTCACTTCTGCTTCACAGCCATTGCCACCTACCTGGTCTGCCCATCTTCAATATCATCCCTCTAATCCATTCTTGCACCAAGCCAGAGTGATACAACATGTAAAGCTGGCTGGTAACTCCCTTGCTCAAAACCCTTCCATGGCTCCCAGGTGCCCTCAGAGTAAAGACTAAATAAGCTCCTTTAACAGTAGAGTATGGTGATTTAGGGAACAGCTCTGAAGTCAGAGTCACTGGTTCAAATCCCAACTCCTCCACCTACTGTGTGACTTTAGGCAAGTCACTTAAACTGTCAGTGCCTTAACCGCCCCATCTGTAAAATCGAGATGATAATGACCTTGGTGGGTTGTGAGGATTCAATGAGTAAACAGCATAAGGATGCATGTAAAGCACTTAGTACAGTATCTTACACAGGTTGAGTGCTCTGTATGTTAGCTCTGGTTATTTATCATGCCTTACAAATCCCCCCATGGCACAGCCCCTGGCACCTCTGCCGCTTTAGTTACTTGTGTTCCCCCTCCCATGCTGAACTTCTTTTCCTCTGCCTGTCAGACACCCACTGCAACCTACTGCTCTCTGCTCTGTGCTCCCCTTCTCCAGCCCAGCCCCAGCCCCAAGCCCTTCAGCCTGCATCTTTGTAGCCCCCAAGCTGCCTCCCCAGGGCTCTGAGCTCCCTGCAGGTAGGGACTGAACCTCTTTTGTTCAGAGCCAGGTCCCAGACTCCAGCCCAGGAGTCTTTGTTAGTCTTGTCCCTGGGACAGAGAATGGAGGGAAGAGATACTGAGTGAATCTGGGAGGCAGGGGTTCCCACCTCTTGGAGCAGCCCCTCCAGGTGGGAAAAGCTAGGCCGGTCAGCAGGGTGGAGGGCCCAGCAGCGCAAGGCGAGCGCGTAGAGGGCCCTGGAACAGAGGGGAGGCCTAGGCAGCCGGGCTCGGTCCTTCTCCAGCTTCTGCAGGATGAGGTATGGCGGGACCCCGGCCCAGGGCTCCTCACCCCCAGAGAACATCTCCCACAGCGTCACCCCAAACATCCACACATCCGAGGCAGAAGAGAAGGCCCCCTGGCGCAGGCTCTCTGGAGCACACCTGTGGAAGTAGAGCTGAAGGGGGCCAGATACGTGCCCCCGGGAGCTCCCACCTTCCACTGAGCACGCCCCCTTGGCACTCCCGTCGTCCTCATTAAGTCCTCTTTTCCAAGCCCTTCTAGACCCAACGACTATCCAGCCTCCCTTGGAGGACCAGTCCCCTCTGCACTTCCCCTTAGCTAGTGCCCTCCAGATCCGCTCTGTCTTTCCGGGGCTCCAAGCCAGACCACCCGCCCGGCCCCGCCCCTCACCAGGCATAGGGGATGGGCCGGGGTCCGCCCATGACGTAGCGGCCACGGGCACCACTCAGCGGCCGCACCAGCCCGAAGTCGGCCACCTTGATTATTCGCGGTGAAGCCAGCAGCAGGTTGCGCGTAGCGAGGTCTCGGTGCACCAGCCCGCGGGCCCCCAGGTACGCCATGGCCCCCGCCAACTGCCGCAGGAAGAGGCAGAGCAGGGCCACTGGCAGCAGGGGCATAGGGGCTGGGGCGGTCAGGCGTGCGTGCAGGGAGCCCAGTGGCGCCAGCTCCATCACCTGCGGAGCACAGCGCCGCCTGAGCAGTGGTCCGGCCCCACAGGATACTCGTTGCCCACCCTCCTGTCACACACTAGTTCCAGGGCTGCTTACCATCTGCAGAGGCTGGCCCAGGACGAGGCCGTGCAGGCGCAGCACGTGTGGGTGCTCCAAGTTCATCATGACGGACACCTCTCGAAGGAAGTCCCCCAGCTCTGTGCCCATGGGGCCTTCTGGACCCACCCGCAGGGACTTGACAGCCACTGGGATCTGGGGGCGGAGGGAAACACCATCAGGCACCCTAGGGTGCCGCTATGCCAGAGCTAGAGCAGAGAGGGCACTTGGAACAGAGGGGCAGCTGGCCTGGGTACCCAGAATGCAGTAGGCTCCCTGGACACTCACGCTCTGGCCACTGGGCAGTGTCCACAGCCCTCGGTGCACCACACCAAAGCAGCCGGAGCCCAGCAGCTCCCCTCTGCACACAGCACCGTCTGGGATCAGACACTTGAGCCCTCCCTCTGGCTCAGGGAGGGACGAAGTGTTGTCTGAGAGTGGGATGGTCTCCTTCTGCTCAGGGGCAAAACCCCCAAGGATCTGAAACAGGGGTGGGAAATCAGATGTGCAGAACCCTGCACACCCTTCCCTGCCACTCAGCCCATCCCATTCCCGGGCCTAAGCTGGCCCTTTAAGCCTCCCATCCCTGCCCTAAAACACACACCTTGTAGACCCAGTTTTTAGACTTGAGCCCTGAACGGTGCTTCTTCAGAGCTTCAGCCAGTCTGCGCTGAGCTGGGGGAGGCCAGAATCAGACAGCTGGGGGGGTGGGGGGTGGGGGCAGGATGCAAGGGACACAGGCAAGAAGAGGGCTGGTGGGAGGAGGGGTGGGGGCAACTAACAGGCTGGAGAAGGAGAGACCAGGGCCTCGGGGCAGGGGTCCCTCACCAGGCCGGCCCATGCCAATGCCATCCAGGTCCTCAGGTCTCACAAAGTCAAAGTGTTCTGGCCGAGTAACATTAAGCTCCTCAAGGATGGGTCGGTAAAATTGGGCCAGCTGGATGTCCCGGAGCAGCCGCAGCAGCCACACGGAGCCCACCTCAGGGAGCATGTCTAGAGAAGGAACTCCTAAGGATGACACACTCTCCTCCAGACACATGGCCCAGGGTAGGCACCTGAGACACTCAGACACCAGAGATGTGGTCGCCACCTCCACCCTCCACCCGTCAGAAACACTCAGGTACAGAGGGAGGGACACATCAGAGACAGCCAGGAATCCTGCCTCTCACACACACAGACCCTGGGAAGAATGCTCCCCATACTCGAGACCTAGGTACTCTACCCCCTCACCACTGACAAACCTGCCCTCCTCACACCTGAGATTTTATTTTATTTTATTTTTTATTTGGTTATTTATCTATTTACTTATTTATTTAGCGAGGAAGATTAGCCCTGAGCTAACATCTGTTGCCAATCCTCCTCTTTTTGCTGAGGAAGATCGGCCCTGGGCTCACATCCGTGCCCATCTTCCTCCACTTTATGTGTGGGACGCCTGCCATAGCATGGCTTGATAAGCGGTGCGTAGGTCCGTACCTGGGATCCGAACCTGCGATCCCCGGGCCACCGAAGCTGAGAGTGCGAACTCAACCACCGTGCCACGGGCCTGGGCCCTCACACCTAAGATTTTAGCACTGTGCAGACTTCAGGTGTGTTGCCCTGCTCACTCTTGAGATATTATGGCACACTGCCTCTGTACCCCTAGGACACCCAGATCCACTGCCCTTTTAGACCTGAGGTACACCATTGCACACATGCACTTACATATATCTGAGACACCTTATGTACACGAGACATTTTGACCTACCACATACACACCAGAGATGCCGAGATACGCTAACCACACCCTATCTCAGACATGCAGGTACACACACACAAACACACGAAGATACATTGCCTCCCACACCCAGAAACACTGCTACACACACACACACACACACACACACACACACACTCAGACCTACAGATATGCTGCAAAAGATGCCTGAGACACCCAGATACATGTCCTCTCAAATCTGAGACGTTCCAGCATGCTGCCATAGAACACCCAGGATTACTGCCACATACCCTCTCACATACAAGTACTTGAGACATGGCAGTTCACTGCCTCCAAGACACACCGCCCCACACGTCTGAGACATCAAGGTCCACATAAACACACACAACACACATGACATCACGGTACAGCGTCCACACATACCTGAGTTAGGCAGGCACACTGCTGCATCAGCCCAGAGACGCCCAGGGCAGCAACATCTGAAATCAAATCGGTCATTCCCGATGGGCAGCTACGTGCGGGCCGCGCTCAACTCAAGGACGGCCTTCAGAGCCACCTAGGCTGCCAGGTGCACAGTCCCTTCCACACCCACCTGAGCCCAGCTCCTGGTACAGAGCCCTGCTCTGAGTCACTCAATCTAATTTGGCGTCAAGGCACCTCCACCAGTCTGTATTAAATAAGGCTCTGGGTGCTCGGGTTGATGGCCGCCTGCGCAAACACTCTCCCTTACACACACCTGTACCCCTCCCTCCCCGCACTTCAGTTAAGCCGGGAGGTAGCGGAGGCCCCGAGGCTGGGCCCAGATGGACACCCGGACGTGGGCTGAGGAACTGGGCGCGAGCCGGGGCGGCGGAGGAGAAAGCCCAGGACCCGGGAGAGCTGGGACCGCTCGCAAGGTGAGAGGGTGAAAGCACAGGAGAGGGGCCAGGAGGAAACGCGGCCGCGGAGGGGCGAGCCGGGGAGGGGAGCGGAGCGGCGGCGGGCAGGTTCCGCACCCGCGGACGTACCCCCAGCGACGGCTGCTCCACCAGCCAGCGCGGCGCGCCCCTGCTTCCCCGGACCCTCACCTGGCGAAGGCGGAAGCGGCGGCCGGGAGCCGCCCCGGCTGCCAGCGCTAAATCCCGGGGAGGGCGGGACCAGGCCGCGGGGGCGGGACCTGCGGCCGCACCGCGCCCCCAGTGCCCTGGTGGCACAGGTGAGGGCTGCGAGGGCGGCTGGCGGGCCGCTTCCTCGCCAGGCCGGACCCTGAGAAGCCTCCCTTCCTCTGTCCTTTGCTCACCTCCCTTCACACCCTCTTTCCATCTTCACACCCTCCTTCCAGCCTTTTCCAAAGAACATTTCACCCCTCCCCAGACTTCCTTCTCTGTGTCCTCCCCCGTGTCCCCTCTTGCCAAATCCTTCACCTCTCTCAACCAAAATGAATTGAATCCCACCCCTTAAATGAATAAACACCTGATAGAGATACCCTGCCGGGGCACTGGGAGTATAAGGCTCAACAGGACACGGTCCCTGCCTCCTCGTGGGGGAGAGAGCTTCCTAGCACTCCAGTCTAGGAAGGCCGGTGGTGCAGGGTGCTTTGGGATGGAGACAGGGCAGACAGGCGTTGACGGTGGTGCAGGCAGTCTGCCCCCAGCCTAAACAGAGTCTAAGACTGAAGCGGTCATCCTTTTCCTGGCTCTGAACTGCAGTCCAATGTGCTGCACCTGAAAAGGACCTTTTGGGGAGCTCCCCAGGGTGGAGCGTGTGGGAGGTCTTGTGTGTGTGTGTGTGTGTGTTGGTGGGGGGACAGAGCTTCTGAGTGGCTTCTCAGCGCCATCCCAGCTTGGTACCTGGTCTTGGTGATCAAAGGCAGCACTGTATGCCTCAGGGCACCTTCCCCAGCACTGGCACTTCCTGGCCTCATTCTGACACAACCCCCCTCCCCCATGTAGCCTCTGCTGACCCCAGGGCCCTGTACATCCCTACTTGGCCTGTGGCTGCAGGGACACAGTCCAGGAACGTGAAGAAGGCTCTGAGGAGGACCATGCCCTCTCCTTTTCTCTCAAGGGTCCCAGGGAGGAAGCCACCAGTCTTAGTACATCTGGCCTGTCTCTTTCTGTCCCAAGGAAGGATGTGTGAGCATAGCAGCTGCTGTCCCCAGAGTCCCATAGAGAGAAAAGGGGAAAACACACAGGATATACCAGCATTGATGGGAAAATCATCGTAGTTCACAGTTCTTCCTGTATGGTTTTCTTGCCAGTTCTCTTGCCCTCCAACCTGGCCAGCTCATCATCCTGTAATTGCTCCCTCCATATCTGTCATCCCTGATACACTGTGGGCTCCACCCAGCAGGGGCTGGATCTGTCTTGTTCATCCTTGTGTTCTGAGAACCTGGGACAGTGTGAGCATACAATAGTTGCGATGCATACTGGTTGTGAAGAAGTCTCCTCAGTCTGATTGCCATTCCTTTGTAGGTGATCTGTCTTTTCTCTCTGCTTTTAAGATACCATTGGTATTTTGTAGTTCTATTACAAAGTATCTAGCTATAGATTCCTTTCTATTTATTCTGTATGTTGTATTTCCTATATCTATGAATTCGCATCTTTATCAGTTTTGGAAAATTCTCAGCCAGTATCTCTTCAAATATTCTTTTTCCTGCATTCTTTGTGTTCTTTCCTTTGGGAACTCTGATTAGAAATGTGCTATACGGGCCGGCTCTGTGGCTTAGCGGTTAAGTGCGCGCGCTCTGATGCTGGCGGCCCGGGTTCGGATCCCGGGCGCGCCCCAAGGCACCACTTCTCCGTCCAGCGCGAGGCCGGGTCCCACGTACAGCAACTAGAAGGATGTGAACCTGTGACATACAACTATCTGCTGGGGCTTTGGGGGGAAAAAATTGAATAAATAAAATCTTTAAAAAAAAAAAAAAAAAAAGAAATGTGCTATAGGGGCCAGCCCAGTGGTGTAGTGGTTAAGTTCTGTGCACTCTGCTTCGGCGGCCAGAGTTCATGGGTTCAGATCCCAGGCCTGCACCTACACCACTTGTCAGCCATGCTGTGGTGGTCACCCACATATAAAGTGGAGGAAGACTGGCACAGATGTTAGTTCAGGGCTAATCTTCCTCAAGCAAAAAAAGAGAAGGATTGGCAACAGATGTTAGCTCAGGGCTAATCTTCCTCAGCAAAAAAAAAAAAAAAAGAAGAAGAAGAAGAAGAAAAAGTGTACTAGACCTTTTCACTCTGTCTTCCATGTCTTTTAATCTCTCTTCCATATTTTCCATTCTCTGTGTCTCCACGTTGCAATCCAGGTACTCTCTTCAGCTGTATCTTCCAGTTCACCAATTCTCTCTTTGGTTATGTCTGATGTGCTGTTTAATCCATACACTGAGGGGTTTTTTGGCATTGTCATATTCATATGAATGTTACTATACTTTCTATACTGACAGTACTTTATTGAGGTATAACTTACATCCAGTAACATGCACAGATTTAACTGTACAGCTCAATGCATTTCAACAAATGTATACATCCATGGATGCAGATAAAGACCTAGAACATTTCTACCATCCCAGAAAGTTGCCTTGTGCCCATTTTCAGTCAATTCCATTCCCCAGAGGCAACTACTATTCTGATTTCTAAAACTCATAGATCACTTTTGCCTGCTCTTGACCTTCCTGTCAATGGAGTCACACAGTGTTTATTATTTGTGTTTGGCTTCTTTCACTCAACATGTTTTTGAGATTTATCTTGGTGTTGTCCAAGTTCTTGGTGGGAAACACAGTGGCTCCGTGGAGCATGTGAAACCTGATTTTCCTCGGAATTCCCAGTGTCCTTACAGATCTGGGTACACTGGAGGTCTTCTAGGAGTCTACATGAGTGTAGAACACATGGGGAGATATGAAGGCAGATGCAGCCGAAGAGGTTGGCAGAAGCCAGACTAGGCATCAATTCATCCTTCCAGCAAGCTTTCACTGTGCCAGGTTCTGGGGACCCAGGTGAACAAGCAGACAAGATCCTTGCCCTTAATGGATTCATTCTACAGGGGCTTGCCGAACACGGTCAGGAGCTTGGGCCTTACCTGAGGGCTCTGGTAACCACTGCTGTGGTTTATACAGGGGAGTGAAAGAACCAGCCTGCTGTAGTAAGAGGCCAGGAAAAGGTGAGAGAGAAGAACAGGGAGCTCAGGGAACAGGCTCTTACCATTGGTTCAGGGGAGAGAGGCTGGCCCTGCCTAGGACTTGTCTGGGGGATAGAGAGGAGGCTGAGGACACTATTGATTGGACTCCTGGCCTACGTCCTCTATGCTCCAGCAGGAAACCAGAGGCAGCAGCTCAGCCCCACCTTTGTCTTTGGCTCTCCAGGGAATCAGAGGCCTCTTTATTCCTTCCCTTCTCCCTATTCATTTCTTACTTTTGGAGTTAAGCTTCTCTCCTCTCCACCTTTGCCCATAAAGAAGGGTGGGATGTTGGGAGCACAACCTGACCATCCTAACCACCCTCAGGGAGCACATCCTTTAGGCTGAGATGCGGCATCCTGCTAACAACACTTAAACCTGGAGGCCCAGAT